GGGCTGCGGATCCAGCAGCACCGGGGATCCGGCAGCACCAGACCCTGCAGCCGTCTCAGCATGGTGCTGCTAGGGAATGCTGAGGGCTCCCTGAACAGAGCTGTTCCCAGATGGCAGCCAGCCAGCACCGAGCCCGCTGGATGAACAGACACAAAGGGCCCTTGCGCGGCACAGCAAAGGTACTGCTTGCTTGCCCTGGATTTCCCTTTGTGCCTCCTGCTAGAGAGCAGAGCTCTTTGTGCAGCGCCTGCTAAGCGCTCTGGGAACGGCCTCTGGTTCTCCCAAGGAGGGAGGGATCCTGCACCGAGCTTGTTCTCCAGCAGGACTAGGACCTGCCCCCTGCTGAACTGGGACCGCTGTTCCCAGGAGCTGCTTGGGGCTGGCAGGGGGCCACATCCCCAGCACCATCTTGGCAGTGGTCCTGCAGCACTCACACCCCGCTCCTCCCTCCCCTGACGCAAGACAAAGGCCACTGGCAGCAGGACCAGGTTGGGGGTGAAACCAGAGCCCTTTATTTGTCCTCTCCAGCGTACAAAGGAAGGGGCCAGGCCCTGCGTGCACCAGGCAGAGCGCTGGCTGAGCATGAGCCTAAGGCAGACAGGAAAGAACTGGAAAACGAGAACAGACCCTGAGTTTATTGGTGCAGAAGCGAGGAGTGCAGCCCCTGTGCCCCGGGGCAGCAAAGGGGAAGCACTGCCGGGATGGCACATCCAAAGTGCAATTGGGTTATTGCTTGGAGAGACTGCTCCCCAGGGTGCAGAAAGGCCCCATGGAAGAGCAGCAGAAGGCACATATGGCGCTGGGGGCGGTGAGAGGGGCTGTGCTCGATGCACTGTGGCACCTTCTGTGCCTGCCCCATCAACCACAGAGCTGTGCTTGTGTGGGGTAAAAATGTGCTGCTGGGACAGCCAAGCTGCTGCCCGTGGTGGATCCTCATGGGGCGTCTGGACACCTGTAATCAAGCCCACCAGGCACTGGGGGAGCAGAGTCCTGCCCTGCAGCATGGTGCAGCACTGCCAGGCTGGGGAGGAGCAGGGCCTGAGCTGCTCTCCTCAGAAGAGGGAACATCTGAGATAAAGAGCTGCAGCAGCTGGAGAAGCAGATCTGCAGGAGAGCCGCAGGGCCCTCACAGGACAATCTTGAAGGAGCTGTAAGAGATAAGACATGTTCAGCACCTCCTTGCTGCACGAGAAGTGGTTTGTGAGCAACCAGCTCTGTGCATGTGCTGTGCTCTTGCGTAGATGAGAACACGCAGGAGGAAGTTCCTAAAGGAACTTCTAAGGGTGGCCTTGCCTTGCTGCTCTGATAAGTGCTGTCCCAAAGCCAGCACAGCAGCAGGGCGGGCTGACTCCTGGGACCCCTTGTACTGCTGGAAGCCACATACCTGACAAAGTCTGGGGAGCGGGAGATGACATGCTGGAACTCAGAGAGGTTGATGGTGCCATCCTTGTCAATGTCAGACTCCTCCAGGACCTGCAGGACAGGCAGTGAGCACCGAGCTCTCCGGGGCTGGGACCATGCAGTGCTCCCTGCCCAGCTCAGGTCCTTACGTTACAGATGAGCTGCTCCATCTCAGTGCTACTCAGCCGTGCCTCCTCGCCTTGCCCTGTCAGGCAGTTCACCAGCTCCTCCAAATCCTTTCTGTCCAGGACCCCGTCATCGTTAAAGTCTTTGGGCAGAAGAAAGTTATGTTTCTGTGGGGTCCCTGTGACTCAAGTCACAAAGCACCTGTGCTGAGAGGGGGCTGGAACAACTCATGGGCATAGCAGCTCCAAGTACAGAAGGTGTCCCCAAAGCTGCCCCGCGGGCACGCTAAAGGAGCTGCCAGCCCTTGCCAACTGTCCCCGGCCAGTGGGTGGGATCCCAGGACACCACGCTCACACCCAGGGTTACCAAAGATGCGGAAGGCGTAGTGGGATTTGATATCTGAGGTGGCAGCATCACTGAAGGCGCTCAGCATGTCGAGGAAGTCTTCAAAGGACAGGCTGTCGTCCCCATCTGCTGACGTGGAGAACACACGGCAGATCCGGTGCTGGAAGGGGTTTGCCTGCCAAGGCGGGGAAGGCTCAGGACAGGGCTGGCACTGAACCACGTGGAGCAGAGCTCCGCTCTCATCTCAGCCCATCCCGACCGGCGCAGCCGTGCCACCACACAGCGGGGCCGTAGGGCTGCTCTGCACAGGGCCGAGGAAGCAATCCACGGTGCCACACGACGAGCACGGCGCGCTCCCAGCACCGAGAGCGCTCAGTGGGTGAGCCTGCCCACCCGGCCCGCTCCAGGTACCGTACCCGCAGCTCCGGCAGCGTCAGGATCTGGCTCTTGGGAACGCGCACAGAGCAGGCGTTCTCCCTCTGCTCCTTCGGCAGCAGCTCACTGAACCTCTTGTAGGCACTTGAGAAAGCGACGACAGGGGCCGCTCTGTGCGGGAGCACGCGGGGCAGCCCCGGGGCGGAGCAGCGCGGCCCCCAGGCGGCACCTCGCGGGGCCGGAGCCGCTGCCCGCCCCGTCCAGGAGCGGTGCCGTCGCGCAGCCGGAGCCGCTCTCTCGGACCCGGAGCCGCGCGCCCCGCCCGGCGAGGCCGCACCCGCGCACTTCGCACCCCGGGGTCACGAAAACGGCGCGGCCCAGCTCCGCGCTGCCCGCCCACCCCCCACGGAGAGCAGTTCCCAGGGTGAGCAGCGCCCGCGGCGCGGGGAGAATGCCCAGGGCTGAGCCCCCCTCCCGCAGAGCCCCGGCCCCGGCACTTACAGCAGGATCTCCTGCTTGTTCAGGAACGTCAGCTCCTGCGGGGAGAGCGCGGTCAGCGCGGGGGCCCCGAAAGAAGAGGCTCCGTCCCTGTCCCCGCCGCAGCCCCGGACTGCCCCCGTTCCCCGGTTCTCACAGAGCCGGGAGGTTCCCCAGATACGGGACCGCAGATTTCCCATCCTTCGCCCCCCCACCCGGTGATCTTTCCCCCCGAGCGCCCCAACAGCCCATCCCACAGACCTGGTACTCCCCCAGCGCCTCCCGGGACAGCAGGCTGCTGGAGCCCCCCATGGCACCCGGCGCCGCTTCCGCCCCGCACGTCACTCTGCCGCTCCCGTAGCAACGGCCCGCCCCGGACTGGGTGCGCGCTGCACGTAGCACCGCCCCCGGCCCCGCGCGGCACCCGCTGGAAGCGCAGGTGCGTGGTGTGATGGGTGGGAGATCGGTGGGACGTGAGGGCCGGGCCAGAGCGGGTGCGGCGGGTGATGGGACGAACGTCGGGGACGGGGGTCAGGGCTGGGGACGGGGTCGGCCAACTCGTGCCCGCGTTCCCCCTCCGTCAGGTTCCCGGTGGCACCAAGCATGGCAGCGGGGGCCGGTGAGCACCAAGAGCAGCTGCAGGACGCCCTTCAGCCCGAGGACTTCGCGTACCACAAGGATGAGTTCATCCTGGAGGGCGTCGCCTGGCCGGGCACCGCGCCGTCCCGCTTCGACCGGGCGCTGCTGGGGGCCTGGCAGGAGCGCATGGCGCGGGGGCTGTTCCGGTACCACCTGGCGGAGCTGCCCACCCGCGTGCTGCCCGGCGCCATGCGCCTGCTGGTCCAGCTCAACGCACAGCGCAGCACGGAGCGCAGGAGGCCGCAAGCAGTGCGCAGCCTGACGCAGCCTTTCGACTCTCAGCAATTCAACTTCACGCAGATCCGCCCCGGTGAGGTGCTGCTGCGCCTGCGCCGGAGGCCTGTGGCCGAGAGCGACCTCGCGGCTGCGGACCACGCGCTGGTGGTGATCAACGTCAGCCCCCTGGAGCGTGGCCACGTGCTGCTGCTGCCGGAGCCGACGCTGCGCCTGCCGCAAATCCTCACCCCCGAGCTGCTGCGCGTGGGGCTGGAGGCCGTGCTGCTCAGCGCCCAGCCCGGCTTCCGCGTGGGCTTCAACAGCCTGGGGGCCTCCGCTTCCGTCAACCACCTGCACCTGCACGGCTTCTACCTCGCCCACCCGCTGCTGGTGGAGACGGCGCCGGCCGAGCCGCTCTGCCCCACGCGGGGGCTCAACCTCCTGCTAGAGGCCCCAGCGCCGGCGCTGCTCTTCTACACGGCGGGCTCCGGCCTGGAGGCGCTGGCCCGGGACGCGTGCAGGGCGGCCGCCCGCCTGCTGGCCCTGGGCCTGGCCTACAACGTCTTCGTGACGCGGGGCGCTCCGCCAGAGGGCTCGGTCGGGCCCGGGCCCGGCGCGGGGCTGCGACTGCTGCTGTGGGCCAGGAGGCCGCATTTCGAGGTCGAGGAGAGCGCGGCCTTCAACGTGGCGCTGTGCGAGCTGGCCGGGTTCCTGCCCGTGGCCACGGCCGCCGCCTTCGAAGAACTCAGCGAGGCCGAGGCGCTGCGCGCCATCCGCCGACCCCTGCTGCCGGAACCGGAAATGCGCCGCCTCGCCGCTGACCTGGCGCTGCTTCTGGAGGACTGAGCCGTGGGGGCGCTGCCCGCGGGGGGCGCCGCGGGGCCCCGCCAGCCAATCGCGAGGTGCGGCGGGTGCGACCGCGTGACCGGTCCGGGGCCGCTCTAGCTGGCTGTACTCGGCTCTCTATGGTCGAGCGGAGACAGCTGCCCCGTCGCCATGGGAACGGCGGCGGTCTCGAGCGGCGCCATGGAGGCGAGCGGCGGCGGTGGCGGCTCCTCGGGGACGGCAGCTGCGAGCGGGTCCGCTGCGCCCGGGAACGAGTCCGGAGCTGCCGCCTCCAGCCCGAGACCGCGAAAGAAACGGAGGAAGTGCAGGCGAGTGCGGCGGGGGGAGGCGGCTCGGTCCCGCGGCCTGTATCCGTCCGTGCGTCCGTCCGTCCGGCGAGAGCCGTGCTGCCCGGGCCACGCTGCGCACATAAAGCCTCTGTGCACACACCGCGTTCCTGTGTCTGTTGCGGGGTCCGCAGGCGGAGCGGCCCCGCGGTGTCTGGGCCTGCAGCCCTCGGGCTGGGGTCCTGCGGGCGGGTCGGAGCCCCAGGAGGAACGGGAACTGCCCCGGCATGCGCGTCCTCCTGAGGAACGGCACGGGCCTGGCACCGTCTGCCTCACGGCCCGTGGCGACGGGCCGGACTTGGTAGTTGGCTCTGTGGGGTGTGCGGGTGTGGTGGACAGTTGTCTCCTTTGTGCCCACTCCCCTTGGGCTGGTCGCCTCACTGAGCAGCTCTTGTGTCGTCTCTTTCAACTCCAGCATCCCATCCATTAACCTGAGCAGCTGCAAGTACGAGAGCGGTAAGTCCGAGGATGCGGCCCCAAGGATGGAGCCAGCCTGCAGCAAGCCGTGCAGGTTCAGCTGGCGAGGTGGGCTGGTATTGAATTTCCACTGCAGAGTCACCTCTGTGTTATGTGTTTACTGCTTGTGAGCGACTTGGATCCCTGTGAATATTCTCCACTGTGGGCTGAGGAGCTTTGTGCTTTAAAGAGACCCAAGCTGCACAGCAGCATTGCAAGCCCTCACCACCCTCCGTTCCTGTATGTGCCACACTCCTGCTAAAATTGGTGAGAAGGGTTTGGCTGGAGGCAGTTACAGTGCAGGATGGTAGCAGTGCTTGTGAAAATGGAGTGAAAGCTACAAACAGTTTAAGTTGAAGCAGGCGGTGCAGCAGGCTGGATCAGTAGCTGCGATATCTCTTTGATATTCCTCTGCAATGACGTGCTCTAGGCAGCTGCTTCAGGCTCCTGTCTCGCTCTTCTTTGCTGCCACAAGCTATTTCTCAAAAGAACGATTTGATGGATGTTATTAGTCAATTTGCTAATGACTACTCTAGCATTACTACTGTGTTTGCATTGCTGAAGGTCACAGCCTTGTCAGCTGTGTGAGGAATGCTGTTTTCACCCAGAGCGACACGTGTTTCACCTGCGGCCATGCTCAGGAGCTTTGGTGATGGGAGGTGGATGAGGATCCACGACAGAACATGGTGTGGCAATGTGAGCTCCATAGGAACCAGGACAGTTTCATGCCCACCTCCAGAGCTGTGGTGCCCAGGGCTGCTCTTTGTGGTGCTGCTGGGCCGAGCTGGTCAGCCCAGAATAAGCAACAAGGCAACAGCCAATGCAAGGTGGCAGGGTTGTGATGGAGGAGGGCCCAAACGGCCTCAATAGCATGTGGGCTGTTGGGCAGTTCTGGCCACCTGGCTGTGGGTGTGTGGAAAGACAGAGGCCTCTGACTTAGAGCTGCCCCCTGTGTTTCCTAACCTGCTTCTGTTTCACACGTGGTTCGTTCATCAGCTCGCCAGCTGTGTAAGAGGGCAAATTCAGAATTGGCACCGACACTGATCATTGCAGCAACAGCCTTCCACTCCAAAGCTCATGCATTCTGCTACCAATTAGCCTTTGATTTTGAAGGTGAAACCAACACCTTTCAAAGACCTGTATTTAGCTGTGTGGCATCAAACCCAGGGTGGATTCAAGCCTGCTGTAATGCAGGGGATGTTCTGGAACCCCAAGGCAAGTGGACTTGCAGGCCGATGGTTCCCAGTGCACCTGCAGGCAGAGGCTGTGTTGAATTTAGCTGATAGAGTTTGTGTTTCTGAGGTCTTCTGAAGGGTCCTGCTTAGACCTTGTCATCCCTGGGGCTGGCAGTGCAGCTTGAAGAGTTTTGCCCACCCTCCTGTTTACTCTGGGGATTTAACCATCCCTGGCATTCGTATCCTCCTCCCTGGACCTTTGCCTGTGCTTCCTTCCACGCAGTGCGTCGTGCTGCGCTGTGCTGCGGGCTGAGAGAAGCGGGAGAAAACGAGGAGTGGACGGTGTACTGGACTGACTGCTCTGTCTCTCTGGAACGTGTGATGGAAATGAAGCGGTTTCAGGTAAGTTCCCCATGGAGAGGGGGTGCCCAGCAGGAAGAGCTCAGGACAGGAGGACGAGACGGAGCTGTTAGTGGAACAAAGTGTTGCAGAACAAAACCGATTTGTCTAAAAGTAGCGCTTGTGCCCCACGTTCTGTGTGTTGGTCCCAGATGCGCGGGTTCATCAGTCGCTGCTTCTGTTGTGTCTGCAGTGATGCCATCAGTAACAGCCTGACAGTCAGTGGGGAGCTGGAAGGCTGCCAGCCCCTTGAATGTAGAGTGAAATAAATGGCTCTTGCTGACAAGCTGCTCCCTTTCAGAAGCTGCAATACTGTAGGAAGGCAGAGCTTCAGGGCTGAGATGGAATGAGTAGATAAATCACGCTGCTGAAGTCAGATAAGGCAGTTGGCGAACTCTTGTCCTTCAGCAGGCGTTCAAGGCAACAACTGGCCTGGCTTCCTGTTCTGCGTGCTTGTTTCTCCATACACTGCCTTTCCTTGACCTCAAGGATTATCACTGACAACTCTCTTTTTCTTCTGCACCTCTTTCAGAAAATCAACCATTTTCCTGGCATGATTGAGATCTGCCGGAAGGATTTGTTGGCTCGCAACCTCAACCGCATGCTCAAACTCTTCCCCAAGGAATACAATATTTTTCCCCGCACGTGGAGCCTGCCAGCTGAGTGAGTGATACACATGAATGCAGCAGAGAACGGGGGTATGGAATCAGGAAGTAAGAAGCACTGTGCTTCACAGCTAGGGCTTGGATGGGAATGGCCTCTGAGGTTTCCTGTGGAATGACATCCCCTACGATGTTTACTGTGCTCAGTGGCCAAAGAGCTGAACCTCGGAAGAGGGACCCGCCCTGAAAGCCACAGGGCAGGATGAGAAGCATAACATCTGTGTTTCTGGGGAACGTCCCTCTGCAGCTCACCGGGAACAGCAGAGGTAAATGCAGAGCAGAAGAGGCTCTCTCCCCACGCAGGCTGGGTTCAGTGCCCTCCGCTCACGCAAGAAGGGTCGGTATGGCTCCTCATTTCCCTGTAGTACAAGACAGTGTTCCTCCATCAACAGCAAATAATTAACTGGCATGTTGGCTTGACTCTTCAAGGCATCATTTCCCAATGGAGCTGCTTTTGCAGACCAAGCAGGTGATGCGATACGTGAGCGCAGCCTGTGAGCCTCTGCACCCTGCTCACAGCATCCTGGCTGCAGCCTGCTGACCATTTGCTGATGAGCTGGAACAAAAGGGGATGTAAGAGCTTGTGACCTCCTCCTCCTTTGTAGGCAGTGTTTTATTTTTCCCCGATCCCTCTGCAGCAGCAGAGCCAAAATCCTCACTGGCTTCTGTACAAATAGTGCTGAATGTTTCCCATGAAACTCCTGGTAGAGGTAGAGATGTGTGCAAGAAAAAGCTGGAACTGGAAGAGCTTTGTCAGGTTGCTCAAGGACTAAATAATGTATTCCTGATGTAAGCCAGCAATTGCTGTACCATTTCCCCGCTGCAGAACTTAGGTCTGTTGTTAGCACAGTAGTTTGAATGTCTGAGTGTTAGCAGAGAAGTGAGGGGCTCGTGTTCTGCAGCCTGTAACAGTCACCCCCTCTGCACAGCTACGGGGACTTCCAGGCCTACAGGCGCAGGAGGAAGAACAGAACGTTCATCTGCAAGCCCGACAGCGGCTGCCAAGGCCGAGGCATCTTCATAACACGCGACCCAGGGGAGATCAGGCACGGAGAGCACATGATCTGTCAGCAGTATATCTCTAAGGTAGGGGGATGACCTGAGGCACGGGGAAGGACTGCAGCTCCCTTGCTCTTCCCGCACCCTGCCTGCTCCTCGTCCTTTGCCCCGTGTCTCTTGAAGCCAGGGGCGCAGCTTGCCTTCCTCCTCGCTGCTGGGCTGCTGGAAGTGGCGCAGGCAGTGCAGGTGGAGCAGCTGGCCTTGGGGACTCAGCAGCACACCCAGCAATGTTCCCTTATCTCATGCTTGCTCCTGCCTTTTTCCTCGCAGCCTTTCCTTATTGATGGCTTTAAGTTTGACATGCGTGTCTATGTGCTGGTCACATCTTGTGACCCACTGAGGATTTTTGTCTACAAGGAGGGTCTGGCCCGGTTTGCCACCATGAGGTACATCGATCCCAGAAGGAGAAACCTGGTAAAAGAAAAATAGAAGGGGAGGATTACAAAAAACTGATGTAGTGTCTGTAGCTTTTGGTCCCTAATTTGTCCTAGGGGCATTCCATACCCTGAAAAGGCAGGGACTGGTCGGTTTTATGGGACTCGGTTTTCTTTTTTCCTGCTCTCTCCTCCCTCTGCACCTCCTCCACACAGAAGGTATTTGGGGGTGTCTGAAGTACATCCCAGGTCCCACATTTAGGCTTTTTAATGACATTATCACAGAATCTTAGAGGTGTCTGGATTTGGAGGAACCTAGGAAGGTCTCAAGTCCAGCCTTCTGCTCAAAACTGGGCCAACAATAATTTCAAATGTGATTCCTCCGAGGTCTCACCCAGTTAGGTAATGAAAATCTGCACAGATGGAGACCCCGCAGTGTCTCTAGGCAACACTGCTGCTGCTTCTTGCCTCTGTGAGTGCTCTTGGGTCTGCACCATTCCTTGTCCATCTGTACTTTGGGCAGAGACCTGGAGCTTACCTGGTGGTAGTGGAACAGCCTAGGAGACAAGGAGGGGAAAGGAGGAAGAAAGGAAGAAAGGTACAGGCCTTGACACTGCGCCTTTCTAAGCAGGGGTCTGTGGTGTATAACATCCCTAAAGAACGTGGAGTCTGTTGGATTGTGGCCCTCTCGTCAGTCTGATGCGAGGTGCACCTCTCCCAGAGCTGCACAATTACCTGCCCTCTGTCACTCCAACACGTTTATGTCTTGGAGAGGCCTTCTGCTTCACATGAGTAAAGAGGACGAGTCTGCAGAAATGTGCTGCAGCTTCTGCCCTGGGGAGTCCCTTGCTCAGTGGTGAGGTTACAACTGGAACAGTGCCTGTGGAGCTGACTCCTGTGCTCTACCCAGGAGATTGGGACAGTGGCGTGAAGCAAGTAGAGCAGTTAGCTCTAACTTCTGGTCAATCAAAGCTGAAAACCATTGCTACAGAGAGGAGGTAAAAGCAGGTGAAGCTGGTGGCTAGATCAGTACTAACGGAATTGTTGTTTCCATTGGTGCTCTGCAATGAAGTGTAAATGAAGGTCTCTTGTGGTTCCTCTCTCAGGGTGACATCTGCATGCATTTGACCAATTATGCTATCAACAAACGTAATGCAAACTTTGTCCAGGATGACACGATGGGCAGTAAGAGGTACAGTCTTGTCCAGGTACCACAGCGCCTCCGTGACATCCTGCAGGAAAGCTGCACTGCGGACAGCTGTTTACTTCCACCATTTTTGGGGTGAAGTGTGATGTCACAGGTGAGCTCTTATCATCTCCTGTCTTCCACACAGGAAACTCTCCACCCTGAATGCCTGGATGATGGATAACAGCTACAACACAACAAAACTCTGGGAAGATATTGAAGATATAATTATAAAGACTCTTATTTCAGCTCACCCTGTGGTGAAGCACAATTACCAAAGCTGCTTTCCTAACCACACTACCAGCTGTGCCTGTTTTGAGATACTGGGTTTTGATATTTTGCTAGACAGAAATCTGAAACCTTGGCTACTAGAGGTGAGGAAGAAATCTCCTGCTGTGTTGAAGCAGCTCTGAAAGTAGCAGATAGTTGAAAGCTTGCTTGTGTGCAGGAAGCTCAAGAACAAGGGCTGGTGGGCTGAACAGAACTTATTTGATTAAACCAGGCCACCTCACTCTCAGAATTAAACGGGTTATGAATACTAGTGGCCAAACAACCTTCTGCAGGCCAAGCAACCTTAATCCACCAGATCTAAGAGCCTGTTCCCTAACACCCTCTCTAACAGCAGGGAGTTTCCTGAACCTCGGTGCTCCTCAATCTGTAACAGCATCCTGAATTTATGACAGCTGCTCTGCTCTTGCAGTCCTGTGGGGGCACAGAGGCTGAGCAGCCTGCAGTGTGGATGAGCATCATATGGCAGGAGGGACAGAAGGCCAGAACCAGATGGTGTGCGCGCCCTCCTGCTTTCAGCCACTGTTATGGGGGAGAACATCAGTTGGACTCGATCTCTGTGGTCCCTTCCAACACTGGATATTCTTTGATCAATGGAAAGCATGCAGAGGGGCAGGCTGGGGCCAGCAAGCTTGCTGCAGGCAGCAGTGTGAGCGCTGGGAATTGCCAGGCTAGATGAGCTGTTTGTTTTGGCAGGTGAACCACTCTCCCAGCTTCACCACAGACTCTCACCTGGACCGTGAGGTGAAGGATGCTCTTCTCTTTGACACCATCAACTTGATAAATGTGCACGCCTGTAGCAAAAGGAAAGCGATGGAGGAAGACAAACAGCAGGCAAAGGAACGACTCCTGCAGGCTCATCGGTCTCCTCGTGTGTCCAGGTACTGCCTTCCCAATGGCACTGCAGGTCCCTGTGAGGAGAAGACAGGCTCTGACACTTGTGCTACCTGAAGCCGTGGCTCTGTGCAGCCTCTGACAGAGCCCACCCAAGCCATCTGCACTCTGGATAGGGAGAGCCTGTCCAGAACTGATCTCAGAAGAGATCTGGGACTCCCTGTGCTATGATCCCTGGGCTTCCCCTTACAGCTGCATGTCCTCGTGTCCTTCAGCGCTGTCAGGCTGCAGCAGTACGTTGCTGGTCTCGCAGTGACTCTCACAGGACGGGTCATAGCACTGCTTCAGGGACCAGGAGCACCGCGGGGCACAGGGCTCTTCTCCAAAGCAGGATTCCTTTCCCAGGGTTGAGCATTTTCCCACCCTTCTTTGTCTGCATGCCCTTTCATGATTTATTAATCTGCACGGCCTCTCGAGGCCATTTTAGATGAGGCTGCTGCCCGGGCTTTTCCTGCTGCGCAGGGCAAGGCAGGAACTGCCTCCAGCTCCCATTTCAATTAGGAAACCTGAGAAAACTGCAGGCTGGGGAAGCTGAGCTCGTTACTCCGTACACTTCATGTCCCTGCAGCCTCCACTGCTCCCAGCTCCCTGCTGGCTGAAAGCTCCCAGCTGAGTGCGGAGTGGCAAACGCTCCTTGAACACAAACACTGTAATTGAACTCTGGCAACCAGCTTAGTTGGGTGAAAAGGCTGAGGGGCAGGGTGTGATCCCGGCAGCAGGGGAGGCATCTGAAAATGCTCCAGCAGCATTCGCCATGTAGAGAATGAACAAGTGGGAACTGTTGGTTCCCAGCAGCAAACATGTGTGAAACGGGCTCTCAGACAGGGAAAGACAGGAGCAAAAATCGAGCTATGTCCATTGTAAAATACCTGGAGCCTCCCATCGCAGCTCCCCGCCTGCCTGCGCTGTCTCCTGGTTTGCAGACATGAGGAGGCAGAGAGCAGCCAGGCAGCCTGGCTCTCAGAGGCAGAGGACTATGAGAACTCCCACCTGGGCAGCTACCGGCGCATTTACCCAGCGTGTGGCACTGACAAGTATGAGCCGTTTTTCAAGCAGAGCAGCTCCCTCTTCAAGGAGACTGCATCGTCCCGAGCACGAGAGGAGTGTACCAGGTACGTTCACACACTGCTTCCTTGTGACCCTTTGCTGGGAGTGAGTGTGTTGTTTAAGGGAAGCAAGGAGGTTGTGGAGAGCTGGATACGGGCAGTCTGCTGTACTTTGTTGCCATGGCAAAGCAACTCCTGGAGCAGTAACTTTGAGGGCAAATGCAGTATTCCACTGGCTTTTGGAATCCGGAGGCACGTCTTGAAACGTCCTCCACTGTTCTCCCCCTTCTGGCAGGCACAGACTAATTCATGGGCATTTCTGACAGCAGTGAGAGGCTCTCTTAAAAGCACTCCTCCCTCACTTCTTGGCGTGCTTTCTTTATGGTTATTCACTACAGTACTTGACTGCAGTAAAATGTCCTCAGACTGAAGTCTTTGCAGTTTTGCTATTATGCCTCTTATGGAACCAGTGACCAAGACAGCTCTTCTGTGGCAGGCAACAACTGGAAGAAATTCGCATGAAGAAAGAAAAGTTAGAAGCTGTTAACAGCAAGAAGAAAAAAGAGAGGAAGGAAGGGCTGCAGGGAGAGTTGCCCGCAGACAAATCCATGATCCACAACAAAACCTCAGCTTCTGCAACCCACTTCACCTACAGAAGCACAAAGATGTGGGATAAAAAGGTACCTTCTTTTCATCTGTGCTCATCCATGGTGTATAAAGGCAGTCTGTGGCTCCAGGAGCAGTACTGGGCCATGGGTGTCTCCTAAGGAGATGAGGCCCCTCCGTGAAGTCCTGTGGGGCTGACAGCTCGTGCCAGGAGGCACCTGGAAGCAGTGCTGCCCTTTGCTGCCGTGCAATCATAGGGATTTTCATCCTACTCCACCCTGAGGTCTGTAATTCCCTGTAGGGCTCAGAGCAGTTTGCAGTTTTGTATCTCTCGCCCATTTCTGTAGTTTCAACTTTGCTGTAAGTCGGGTGCTTCTTTCCTAAGACAGAGCACGTGCAGTATGACTCCATGCAGCCTCAGGATATTCTGGAAAATGAAGAGAAGAAAAGAGTGAATGCTCTTGCAAGGCGTAAGAACCTTATCCAAGGCCTGGGCATCGTGGATCAGCTCTCCCAGCTGCTTCCCACAACTGAGAGATCATCTGACAGCCACAGACCCTGCGCTGTTACCTCTGAGATCCAGGTAACTGAAGCTTGCCCCGATGGTTCTTCGAGGCCACCACAGGACGCCGCCGCTTGTGGCCGAATGCGGCTCATTTAAACGAGGTCCAACGTGCTGCCCGGGTCCGCGGGTCTTTTTCTCCTACAAGGGCGGGGGGCACACCAGGCACTCACACAGAGCCCCTGGGCACCGTCCCTCAGAAGGTCCCTCATTCTCATTCCAAAAGACAGTCTGATAACACTGCCTTTCGCTGTCCCCTCGTGCAGCACGGCGTGGTCTGCTTCTTCGGGGCCATAAGGTTCTCCTGTCTAAGTAAGATTAATTCCCGAGCAGGAGTTCTCTGAGCTGCGAGCACAGAAGTGCTAGGAGCATGGCAAAGAAGCACAAGCAGCAAACAGGGTCTGGGTGGAAGTGTAGAAATACCTAAAAACATCTCGGTGAATTCTGCACTGCAAGCAGTGCCTCTTCCTAAACCCCCCAGCCTCTGTGTTACACAGCCCCCACCCATGGAAGGTGAAGAGCCCCCTGCACATCTCCTGACAGCGCACGTGCTGGACACACATCAGAGCTCAGTCCTTGGTGTGGGGCTTCCCCTTGACAGTCATGTTTGCTCTGCAAGAGCTTGCTGTAGTCTAAGCCCTTGGCTTTGCCACTGTCATGTCCTGGATTATTTCAAGGTGCACAGCTGAAGAAAACTGGGCCGTGCAGGGTTATGCCCAGGGAAAATTTGGAGCTAGATTTGCTTGCCTACAGTTCCCAAACCTGGCCACAGGTGCCAGTGTTCTGAAATCAGATGATGAGAAAGCCAGCAGTCTGTCATCACTGGACTCCAGTGGGCTGTAAGGGCTGCAGCAGAACTGATGGCTGATATCTGATATGTGGAGAAAGTGCTAATTGTTGACTGGCAGTTGTGAAAAGCCTTGCAAGGTCCTCTCCTGGTGGCACCACCTGCTTCCATAAAGGCCTTCCACTCTTGCTTGGAAGGACAGCACACCTTGCAAGGATGCTGACAAACTCCAGATACCAGAATTGCAGGAATTATGTGGGCTGTGGGAGTATTCTGTGCCTTACAGCAAATTGGAAACGTCCCTTTAATTTAACAAAACAAGTGTAAGGTGCGATTTGATCTGTAAGAACTGATGGTAGCTGCCTTTTCTGCTCCCAGACAAAGCAAAGCAGAACTTGAAACCACGAGTTCCACCCTAGCTCTGGGCAGATCTTTTCAGAAGCAAAGGACTGTACAGGGCTGGGTCAGATCCTTCATCACTGAAGCCTCCCCACAAGGCTGTGGCGTTTCTTTCCACAAACCCTGCTGCAGCTCAGGGCGATGTTACAGGCAGTGCATGGGAGCCTCTGAGCTCTGCTGCAGGCAGATCAGACGCCGTCCACCTGGATGATTTGAATCTAAGGCTGAGGTGTGCGCAGGAGAGCAAATGTGGGGAGATGTGTAGTGAGCACCGGCACGGAAGACGTTTCCTTCCTGTCTCTCATCAAGGGTCTCCAGAGCTAAGCTACAACCGCTTTCTCTCCCTCCAGACGCAGTTTCTTTGGGACGCACCGCAGGCACAGCAGCCTGCCCCCTTGATGACCATCATCCCCCTCTCGTTCCCAAGAGGCACCGTGTGGCCTTCAGGACGGCCGTGTGCTCGTAACCACAGCACCGGGGCACAGCTGCTGGCTGGCCAGCACCCTGCCCCAGGCATGCTGTTGGTTCGAGGGCAGAGCATCCCTTTCCGAGAGCAGCACACGGTGCAATGCAGCGCCCAGCCCCAGGACAGGGGCAACTCGTGGAGCCGGGCTGCAGAGCCAGCAGCAGCTACCCAGCCCTGCACTAAAACCGGGGGAAGGCCGATGAGCGCCTGGCAGCTCTCTGCAGCCAGAAACGAGGCGGAAGGATGTGAGTGCGATTATCTCACTTTGGTTCTGCCTTTGTGTGCTTTGCGTGCAGACATGGAAGTTCTGATGGAGAAGCAGGAGGGTTGGGTGGAGCTGTTCCGCGGTTGGGGGGCTGTGCGGGGGCCACAAAGAACAGCAGGCTGCAGCTGTGCGGCTGCCCACGCGCTGTCTGTGCTCCTGCAGGTGACGTCGGGCGGCCGCTCTGCGCAGGCAGCGCTCACCGCGGTTCGTTGGGATGCCCGGCCCGTGCAGGCAAGGCCACGGGTGATGGCGGCTTCAGCGGTGCGGCAGCACGGCGGCTCCTCGTAGCCTCTGCCGCTCTCGTGCTGCACACGCGCTGCGCCAGCGCCATGAATTTACGCGACGTGAGCAGCACAGGTAAGGGGCAGCGGCGGCTCCAGCCCGCCCCGGGCGCCGCTCCCTGCACCGCGGCTGCCGGGGGTTCCATCCGAGCGCCCTCGCTCTGGTCATGGGGTCCTGCGGGACGTCGAGGCCCAGTTGTCCGTCAGGACTCCGAACTGCCGGCTATCGCCGGAGCCCGCAGCCCCAGGTGCCGGGGAGCGGCACGCCGTGCCCAGACCCCGCCGTGCCTCCCGCGCTTCCCCCGCCCTCGGGCCGCCCCCGCCCCGCCCCGCCCCCCCTCGGGTCATGGCGGCGTTGGTGCGGCGCGGGCTGCGGGTCGGTGCGCTGCTGGCCGCATCCCCGCGGCGGGCGGCAGCAACGTGGCACGGGGAGCCGGAGCCGCCGAACGCGGTGCCGGATGAGGCCGAGAGGTACGGGACTGAGGGGCCGAGTCCGCGGCCGGGAGGACCGGGGCGCTCACACGTTTCTCTCCCCGCAGAGCACGGAGGCGGCGGGCAGCGGCGCGGCTGCGGCGGGTGCTGGGCTCGGAGCGCGGCGCCCCCGAGCGGACGCTGACCTGGGAGGCGATGGAGCAGATGCGGTGAGCGGCCGGGTCCGGGCGGGGCGAGGCGGGACGGAGCGGTAGGCGGTGACCGCGCTGCACCCGCAGGTTCCTGCGGCAGGAACTGCCCGAAGAGTGGCCGCTGGAGCGCCTGGCCGAAGGCTTCGGCGTCAGCCCCGACGTGGTGCGCCGGGTGCTGCGGAGCCGGAGCCGCCTCCCGCCGCACCGCCGCCTGCGCCAGGACGCGCGAGCGCTACGCGCCGCCCCGCAGCGTCCGGACCCGGGCCCCGCTCCACCCGCCGGCACGGAGGTGCGCGCCCCGGACGGCTCGCTGCTGTACCGCCTGCCGCGAGGGCTGGACGGGTCGCAATAAACTGTTGAACTGGGTTCGGCTCCGCCCGCTCCTGGCGTTTGCATATTTGCCGGCGCGCCGGCGCAGCCCGCACAACGGCCATGGGTTCGGATGCAGCGCGGTTGCTGGAGGCGGCGGACTTCGCGGCCTGGAAACACAGGGAGCAGCGGCGGAAGGACCCCGAGGGCACCCCCTACATCAACCACCCCATCGGTGCGCGGCCGCTCTCGTCCCGTTGCCCTTCTCGCGATCCCTGCAGCGAGCCCCCGGTGCCGCTCCCGTCCGGTCAGCCCCCCTACGGTGGAGCGCGCGGCGCGGGGCCTCGACCCCCTCCCTCCCCACCCCTCCCGGTGTTTCCCGTTCCAGGCGTGGCGCGGATCCTGTCACACGAGGCGGGGGTCACGGACGTTGTGGTGCTGCAGGTACCGCTCCGCCCGGGGCTGCGGTGGGGACGCCGCCGCCCGGCCGGCCCTGACCGTCCCCCCCCCACCCCCAAACTCCCCCCGGCCCCCGCAGGCCGCGCTGCTGCACGACACGGTGGAGGACACGGACACGACGCTGCCCGAGATCGAGGAGCGCTTCGGGCCCGAGGTGCGGCGCGTGGTGGAGGAGCTGACGGACGACAAAACGCTGCCGAAGGCGGAGCGGAAGCGGCTGCAGGTGGAGCGGGCGGCGGGCAGCAGCGCCCGGGCCAAGCTGGTGAAACTGGCGGACAAACTGCACAACCTGCGGGACCTGCAGCGCTGCGCGCCCAAAGGTGCGCCCGGCGCCCGGCCTGGCCCCGCCCCTCGCGAGCCCGGCGCCGGAAGTGACGCGCCGCGCGTGTCCCCGCAGGATGGTCGGAGGAGCGCGTGCAGGAGTACTTCCGGTGGGCGGCGGAAGTGGTGGCCGGCCTGCGCGGGACGAGCCCGCCGCTGGAGGCGGCGCTGCAGCGGCTGCTGGCGGAGCGCGGCGTGGCGCCGGGGCCGGGAACGGGGCAATAAATGTGGCGGGTGCCACCTCGCGTCTCCTTCCTGATTGCTTTGGTGCTTCCGGCGCGGCGTCACGTGACTCCCGGTGCTTCCGGCGCGCGAGGTCCCGTGGTGCGTGGGTTCCGGCGGAACTGCGGGCTCGCGGCGGCGTTCCGGGCCCCGCGGCTGCTCCGCTATGGCCTCCACCGCCCGGCGTGACGCGCCCGAGCCGCCCGACTTCGGTATCCTGAAGAGGCTGGCGCGGGACCAGCTCATCTACTTGCTGGAGCAGGTGCGGGCGGGCGGGGGGCGCTGGAGCGGGCCGGGAGAGGGGAGCGGCCCCGGGGGTCGGCGCTGGGATGGGGCCCGGGGTGCGGGGTTTCCCGGCGCCGCCCCACGCCGCCCGACCGCCCGCAGCTGCCAGGCAGGAAGGACCTGTTCATCGAGCCCGACCTGATGAGCCCCCTGGACCGCATCGCCAACGTCTCCGTCCTGAAGGTATCGCGGGGCCGGGGGTCGGGACCGGGGGTGCCGGCACCGCCCGCTGACGGCTCCACGCCTCGCCCCGCAGCAGCACGAGGTGGACAAGCTGTACAGGGTGGAGAACCGGCCGGCCCCCAGCACCAGCGATCAGTGAGTGCTGCCCGTCTGCTCGGGACGCACCTCCCTGCGCCGCGGGGCTCAGGTGGCAGCTCTCACACCCTGCCGCCCTGTTCCCAGGCTCTGCTTCCTCGTGCGGCCGCGGGTCAGGACGATGCGGTACATTGCAGGTGAGCGCCCGGCGGGCAGCTGCCTGTGGCCTGTCGTTGGTTCACCATCCCCTGTCGCTGGTTCGTGATCCCTCAGCTCTGCTCTCTGCAGGTGCTCTGGGAAGGTCAGGATGTGGCATGTGGGTCATCTCATGCTGCACTGACTGCAGCTCTGCACTGCCAGTACCTTCTGGCCCCTGCAGGCCACTATTCCTGGGCTGGAAAATGGCCCTGTTCCCAGGTTCTTCTTTCTGCCCTGGGTGCTGTGAGGAGCAGTGCCCCACACCTCATCCTGTGGGACAAGTTGTGGCAGTTCAGGGTGGCACGCAGTGTCTATGAGGTCTGCGCACGTGTTCTTTGCAGACATTGTCAATGCTGACAAGATGTCAGGGAGGAGCCGGAAATACAAGATCATCTTCAGCCCCCAGAAGGTCAGTGCTGCTTCTACCCCTTGTGACCTGGTCTGACCCTCACGCTTCCTGCCCCTCCTGTCAAAATTGGAAGTTGTTTCTTAACCAGAGCTGTTTCACTAAAGTCAAGTGTTACGGTGTCTGGGAAGAAGACAAGTCCTGTTACTGCAGGGAGCTCCTTCCCTGCCTGTGGTGGAGCGTGACTGAGGATCTTTTCTTATTTTGCAGTTCTATGCTTGTGAGATGGTGTTAGAGGAAGAGGGAGTCTTTGGCGGTGAGTAGGTCTGTGGTGTGTGACACTTCGCTCACAGCACTCTGATCACCTCTGAACCCCAGTACCAGGATCTCCTGGGAGGAACAGTGGTTCTGCCCCTGCCTGGGTAGAGGAAAGGATGAGTCCCCTCGAAGAGGACCCATCTCTGTTTTCCTCCTCTGTGTGAGGAGTTGCTGGGATTCCTGGGGCTGTTTTTGCTGGGAGTGGATGACTGTTGTCTTTTCCTGTCTCACGCTCAGATGTCACCTGTGATGAGTGGTCCTTCTACCTGCTTCCCCTGGATGAAGATATCATCAGTATGGAGCTGCCCGAGTTCTTCCGGGACTATTTCTTGGTCAGTAGGGATGGTCTGCTGGGTGCTGCCCATACGATGGCAGCCCTTCTGTCACTTGTCCCTGGGCTCAGGCTAGGAGGGCTTTGTTCAGGAAGCTAATGTCCTGCTCGGTCCTCCCAGCCCTCACTGCAGGCTGCTGCTGCTGTCTTGGGGAAGGTTTTGCCTGGGGCTCCTCCTGAGCAGCACTGGGCACCAAGCTTGTTCCTATGTGTGTGCAGTGGGAGCCCACGGACCCTCAGCCCCGCTTTGCGTCTGATTGAGGCCCCCAATGCAAGCAGTTATTTCCAGTCCAGCCTGCACAGAATGCACAGATCCTAATGCTGCTGTGCTCCTTGCAGGAGGGAGATCACCGCTGGATCAACTCCGTTGCTCGAGCCCTGCAGCTGCTGAACTCCCTGTATGGGCCATTCAGCAGGGCCTATGGGATTGGGAGGTGTGCCAAGGTAGGTATGGCAGGGCTTATGGTGTGCTCTCACCTCTGGAGTGAAGGGTGGTAGGAGTGCCCTGTTTCCTGTGCCTGAGCTGAGGCTGCGCAGGGGAAGCTGCAGCAGCACCCCCACATGGCCGGGGACTGTGCTGGCATCGGGTCCCTGCTGTGTACTGCAGCTCTTGGTCACAGGCATTGGCACAATTTTCCCCCTGCAGATGAGCTATGAGCTGTGGCGAGACCTGGAGGAGGAGAGCGAGAGTGAGGGGCAGGGTAGAAAGCCAGAGATTGGGAACATCTTCCTTATGGACAGAGGTAAGGGCTGGCACCAGTGGGAGTGAGAGGCAGCAGGACTGGGCCTGGCAGGGGGAAAACAGGCAGCAAATGAGTCCTCATTGCAGACACGGACTACGTCACAGCGCTGTGCTCGCAGGTGGTGTACGAGGGGCTGGTGGACGACACCTTCCGTATCAAGTGTGGTAAGTGGGGGTCAGTGATGGGGTGACGGGAGGCTCTCCTGAGGTTTGTGCTCGGTCCTGGCGTGGGATGGCGCTAAAGACCTGCCTGCAGAAACATCAGGGCAAGTGTTACCTGTCTCTGCAGGGCTGTCACCAGTGCTGGGGCAAAGCAGTTTGGGGGGCACCTTATTGCAGCGTTGCACTGCGTGAAAGGGGCTTGTAAGAAAGAGAGAGATCTTTTAAAAGGGCTTTTTAAAAGTAGTGATGGAACACAGGGTAGGAGCTTTAAACTTGAGAGTAGATTTGGATTAGACGTTGGGAAGAAATTCTTGTCTCTGAGGGCAGAGAGGCCCTGGCACAGGCTGCTTAGAAAGGCTGTGGATGCCCCCTCCTTGGAAGTGCTTAGAAATCTGGATGGGGCTGTTCTGCTAGGCAGGGGGTTTGTAACGAGGCCTTTAAGGTCTTTCCAACTCAAACTATTCCGTTGTTCTGTGATTCGTGCTATGATTCTGCAACTCTTCATCTTTCTCCGTAGGGAGTGTGGATTTTGGGCCAGAAGTCACCTCTTCTGACAAGAGCATTAAGGTGCTGCTCAATGCCCAGGACAAAGTGAGTCCTGCTTATGTGGCAGCAGGCCTTTCTGGTGCTCTGGGGGGAGGCTGAGCAGAGATTGACCGGGCACTGCTGGGTCTGGAGGCTTGGGTTGTCATGGGCTGCGTGTGGAGATGTAGAAGCAAAGTGTGGGCACAGCCTGACCTCTGTTGTCAGCACCACCCCTGCAGGCAGAGCTGAGTCGTGCCCAGGGGGCAGCAACCGCACTGGTGGAGTGCAGCCTCTTCTCACTCTCGGTCAGGGCAAGCCTGGCCCCTGGTTGGGCTGTGCTGACCTGGCCTGAGCTTTGGGGAACGATTAGCTCAGGTGCTGCGCTGCTTTCTGCAGATCTTCAGCCAGATTCGGAACGAACACTTCTCCAGTGTGTTTGGCTTCCTGAGCCAGAAGTCACGCAACCTGCAGGCGCAGTATGATGTGCGTACGGCCTCGTGCTGAGGGCTCCCCAGCATCATCCCTCCACAGCTGGGTCACTCCCTGCATGCTCTCACTCCCACAGCGCCGCCAGGGCATGGACATCAAGCAGATGAAGAACTTTGTCTCCCAGGAACTGAAGGGACTGAAACAAGAGCATCGCCTGTTGAGTCTGCGTAGGTGCCGGGACGGCAAGGAGCGGGAGGCCCCAGCTGCTGCAGTGGGTGCCTGAGCCCTAGGGAAGCAGGGGGGTTGCAGGGCCTGGTGGTCCCTAGGAGTGTCTGAGCTGCAGGCAGGGCAACAGAGGGTGTTGTTGCATGCGCGTGCCTGCAGTGGGACTGCGTGTGGAGCCTGTTACAGCTCCACAGTGGAAAACTCTTGGCTGTACAGATATAGGTGCCTGTGAGTCCATCATGAAAAAGAAAACCAAGCAGGACTTCCAGGAGATGATCAAGGTTGAACACGGTGAGGGCCATTCCCTGTGCCTGTTGTTGCCCCCCACCCTAGGTCTGGCTCTTCCACCTTTGCTCTGATGCCAGCCTCATTGCCCCAGGTCTGGGCTGCCTCACAGGCTGGGAGCTCCCTCCAGACCTTTCATGCTGGGGTGGGTTGTGAGGTCCCCACAGGGCTGACACGTGGTAAGGCAGGCAGCCCAGCATTGCAAGCCCTCCTCTCCCCGAGGCTCAGTGGGGAGGCTGAAACCAGATTCTACCTCAGCTGGCTGGTGGGAGCCCCAGGGATGGGAGAAGTGACTGCCTCTCCCCCCCGCCACAGCTCTACTGGAGGGTTTTGACATCCGGGAGAGCACCAGCTTCATCGAGGAGCACATTGACCGGCAGGTAGGAGCTGCACCGCACTGCGGGGCCGTGCGTGGGCCAGCAGCCTGCTCACGGCACCACTGCAATGCAGGTGTCCCCTATTGAGAGCTTGCGCCTGATGTGCCTGCTGTCCATCACGGAGAATGGTGAGATGGAGTCTAGGAGCTCGGCGGATGTCAGCACGGGGGGCCGTGCACTCAGTTCACCGCGGCATCCCCACAGGTCTCATCCCCAAAGACTACCGTTCCCTGAAGACCCAGTACCTGCAGGTGAGAGAACCTGGGGCACCGGGGCTGTCAGAGCAGGGGCTGAGTTACCTGAAGCAGCCCGCTGGGCTCCTGCGTGTCCCTGAGGCAGTGTCACACTGCTGTCTCGCGTGACTTTGTGCTGATCTGCCCACTCCCTTCCTCAGAGCTACGGGCCTGAGCACTTGCTGACCTTCCACAACCTCAAGCGCATCGGATTGCTGACTGAGCAGACAGCTGGAGAAACCCTGACAGCAGTGGAGAGCAGAGTCAGCAAGCTGGTGACGGACCGAGC